GGGGGGGGGGGGGAGCTGGATTCCCCCAGAATTATCCCCAGCAATTTGTTTTGAAAATATTCAACGTTTGAGGAGACTTTTAGTCCCAATTCTTTCTCATGGAAGGAAAAACATGCAGTGACTGTATTTGTATTTAGTATGTATTAAAAAAACCAAATGAATTGTTGAGATTGATTATAGAGGTGTCATGTGCATAAAATGGCTCTTCCAAGTGATATGAAACAAGAAACTGCTCTGTGATATGGGACAGTTTTCTGCTTATGTTTCAAAGACTTTTGACCAATACTAATAATTTTAGCTTTACTGTGTTAGCTAGTGAGTTTGGGGGGAATCTTTGTCTAAAAGACTACACAATCCAACTTGGGTATAAGAGATATCAAACATGTCCTTGGCACCAAGGAGAAAGGACTGATTTTTCTCACATAATTTGGCTGGGAAAATGTCATTACTAATACATAAAGCAGTGTCATTGACAAATAGAATAAAGGTAAGTGGGACAAATATACAATTTTATTTGAGCTACTGGGGTGGTATTGGATAAGTGATCTGCAGGAAAAAAACTCACTTGACAAGTTGATCTTTTGTCCAGCTTTGATGCTTAGATTGACTCCTAGGGTGTAAAAATAAGACTGTTTTACAGCCTTCCATGGTATTTAGCACTTTGAAAGATATATAATGGAGTTTTTCTGTGTTCATATCTGACCATGATGCGACATTGATACTTTTCACAAAAACATTTAGGGACATTTGAAAAGTTATGCTTGTATGATTAAAGATACTATTCCTTTTCCTCCTGAGTTCCAAAGCAGATTACTATATGGTGTGTGAAAGAAAGGGTAATTCAGTAAACATATACAGTATATCTCTCTCTAGCGTTTGTAAGCAATTGTGCTGTTCCTGAGTGACAGTGCAGTGAAGATCTAGTTGAAACTCTGGTTTGACTTGGAATTCCCTTAAATAAGTTGTAATTCAGCCACATACTGTACCAAGGTAGATAACTACATGAAAAAGAAGTGAATTATCGGTGAAAATTATCAATATCTTGAATACTTAAATATGCCTGATTGGTTATCACTTGTGCAGGATCTCCAGTGGAAGTTGGCCTGTGGTGGATGCTTCACGAGATGCAATACTAAGCTTGTGCCTCTTCACACGAACCATTGCTAATACTTGTATTGAACTAGATGAAATTTGGGATGAAATTCAGACATCTGCATGAACCTTGGTTGGGTTGAAGTCTACCTTCCATCCTTTGGTTCCTTTGATGATATCTTGAGATTACCTTGAATTAGCCCTCCAAAATGAGAGATTGCAAGTTTATATTGTAAAACAACTATGTTTTTGCATATAAGTATGCTCCTTCTGCCCAAAAAACTGGAGGTGCAACTCTATAGAGGCAGACAGGCCATCTTGGTATGGTTTTTCAACATGTCACTGTCTTACGACAAAGTTTACAGTAAAAACCCTGAATGTCTATATTTTGCAACAAATGCATAGCAAGGAGCTTCTTGCTTCCATAGTTTATTTATAGGGTTATATAATAATAAATGAACTATGAAAGCTTTTACAGCTTTATTCTTGTAGTACATATTATATACTATGAATCTTTATTAATGACTGTAGATGGAGTAGCAAGGAGCTTCTTGCTTCCATAGTTTATTTATAGGGTTATATAATAATAAATGAACTATGAAAGCTTTTACAGCTTTATTCTTGTAGTACATATTATATACTATGAATCTTTATTAATGACTGAAAA